GCTGGAGTCGTAGGTGTTCATATGTCAGATGAGCAGTTCTCGCGAGCTATCTTAGGGAGGATTCAGAGCGTGACGCAGACTACCACTAGGCAAATATTTCAAGGGGGGATCCTTGTTAGTAAAGAGGAATCAAGGAAGGAGTTTCATGTCGACATCATTGCAGGATTTGATGATTCAACCCAATCCGTTCAGTGAGATGTTAGACGCTATGCACAAGTTCATATGATGATCGCAGATAATAACCAAAGGACTTACTACGTGTAATAAAAAAAGAAGAAAAGAAACGGACTCTGTATATTTTCATGTTTTCATCAGTTATTAATTGTTCAAGTTTTGAGATGTTTTGTGACTTGCAGTTTTATAGTTAATGTTACGCACGGGATTAGTTGTTTTTAAGTTTATAAAACGAGGACGTTTTTAAATTAAGGAGGGGGCAGTGTAACGGAGTTGTTTCAACGTAGCGGGCGCATGTGGGTCAGTGCATGCGGGTGGGCAGTTAGGTATTAGGCATGAGCAAGAGAGGACGTGTTCGGGCAGGTAGCTAGGGAGGGCAGGATAAGATAGGTGAAACAGGGTGAATCGGAGTACTGCTACTAGCTGTTGAAGGGAAGTTACATTGTAAAGTTGGAGTTCTTCGTGAATAAAGGCAAGTACCTTTTGATGTAAAATGACACTGTGTTTCCGTGTATTATAGAAAAGTAGCGTGATCTGAGTGCGATCGATGATGTTGGAGTGATAGCTTCACTGTTTATGAAAGAACCGTGCGGGTGATTGGAGTCTCGTGAGATTTATTGACCGCTCGGTAAATGGTGCAGGGACCCCGGACAAAACCCGTTACACTATTCTATACAAAAAAGTACATACGTTCAAAAAACCAAAATAACAACAGAATTCATATAATGAATACACATTTCATGAAAAGAAATTTCCTTTTAAAAATAAATAAGATAACTCATACATGTGCATCTCAAAGGGAAGGGGGACGCTCATACGTAGCTCGGGTCCAAAATCCCTGGGTAGTGAAACTATATAACTACTCGCGTACTGACTGTTTTTTCTTCAAAAGCAGCAATGTCTTTCCTCCTCCGTATCTAATATTCAATAATACTAAAGTCAGATAAAAGTCTTTGAACCTCTCTCTCTCTCTCTCTCTCTCCGTCTCTCTTTTAATTTGACCATCTTTGTCCATAAGGTGACGGCTGGACTCTTGGAGGAATCTTTGTAATCGGTCCAGGAGAGAGGGGGCTCATATATGACTACCCTAACCAATCATTCGGGGACATGGTCGATACGGCGAATATCATTGACGCTGCCAACCAGATAAAACAACCTACAGAAATACCAGAACAGGCCTAAATATAATCCGGCGAAATATACTTTGACGAGGAGAGGGGAGGGGGCTCGGCAGTCGCTGCGTTCAAATGTGACGTTGTAAACAACCGCGTTTTTTTCTTTGTCTTTTTTGTTGTTGTTGCAAATGTATGGCAACTGCGCGGAACAAAGATCATAGGCACATTCACTTAGCTCTGTGTTAAAAGATAAATACTTTTTAAGTGTGTTACACTTCACGTCATCATATAAATTACCCCCCCCCCCCAACAAAATAATAAAACACCGCGGTTTACCGAATAAGACGTTAGTGCCCTATTGCATGGTTATTGAATATACTGTACACTGTCATAAGATGATGAAGCGGATCCTAATCAAAAGATAGGTTGTATTATTTCTTTTATTTGTTTATGTTTTGATTTGTTGTATAAAATGATATTTTATAACGTGATTTTACTAATGACCGGTCATTAAAATTGGATAATGACCGGTCATCCAAAGGTACCTTGTGTGGATAATTCTTACTAATGCCCTCACTGCAGTGCATTATTTGTATAATAATCTCTTTATGAAAAGAAGTAAGAAAAATGATATTCAACTTCATGGGCAACGGATATACGTTAGCCAGCGTCGCATAGAAAGCACACTGACTCCGTCCCCTGCCGGATTGGTTAGACTTGAACGCCATCAAAACAATTCAGATTTGATTAACTGGTAATTGTTTATTAATTTGTATCCATAAATTGTGCAATATTACTCCATGATATAAGAAAAACGAGGTGTGAACTTAAGTTGGTTATACTATTTCCGTTAGAACTCGAAATCAGTACAACAGCTGTAACAGTCGCTGCCTGTAAATTTGTTCCAATGTTTCACCGTAAATGGCATAATGATTTTACTGCAGTTTTCATAACACTGTCCTTGAAAGATGTCTTCATGTTACCGAATGCACTTACATCAACGTTCTACTCAAAAGGAGAATTGCATGCTCTTATTATGTTGTCTTTACCGGTTAGCTTGGATAGACTCTATAGAGTACCGAAGTATACCATGGAGTTACTAGCCTCGTCGTCCCGGTTACTGGTTCTAAACAACAGAGCCTGCGCATGAGGTTCACTGCGAAATCATTCAAGCAACGGGATCGAGCAGGGCGAATTCAATGTTTGGAGCCGGTGTGACCAAAGTGTAACGTTATACGGGCCAAGTCGTCAAGGTCAGGGGGGGGGGGCACGGGGGACACGTGCCCCAAACAAATTTCCTCGGTTTACATTTTTTAGACCCCTCCCCAGGACGTCGATCAATTACATGTATGTGCCCCCCCCCCAAAAAAAAAAAAAAAAAAAAAAAAAAAGTTTAACCTAATACGAACCAGTAACCAGGACGACGAGCGAATATGATGTTAGCACATCGGTACTCTTTAATTTTATAAAATGAGATGAGTGAAGACAGAGCTAGGAGGGAGATCTTTTTTACAGAAATATTGCAACTAACACTTCGAGGGAAATATTCCAAAACGCAAAGCTTCATGACAGAATACTGAATGGAGATTACCCCCAGATTGTATTTAATCGATGTTCTATCTCTACCTCATCATCATCATAGTACCAAATCTGCCTTATATCAACTTTTTATGTGTGCACAAATCTAAGAATTTCCTCTTTTTTACGAACTGATTGCAATATACATGTACATGTATTATCAGAATAGTTTCTTGTCTCTTCAAACAATTGCACAGTACACTTTATCTTCGAAAATGTGATATTAATGACAGACCAATTTCAAAAGCATTACTATGTGCAGAAATGGTCTCGAGCTGCGTATATATTCATGTTTTTTCCTGATTAACATAGATTGTGCAATCGTTTCTATTGGAAAATAAACTTCTTTGGCATTAGGCCTATTTTGTGTATTATCATTATCATCATTACTTTAATTTTATTTGTTTTTGTTAATATGTTTACAAAAAATTAAATTATCTTTATGATAAAGAAAAAGTTGGTTCATCCTCCAAAGACAATGTGAGTGAGTTTTTTTTCAAAAAGTTTAACCTACAAGCAGAGGTGGCGCTCCCGGGGGGCAGAGGGGGGGGGGGGCACAGTACCCCCTCCCCACTTTTTCAAGACCCCCCCCAAAGTGCCCCTTTTACTTTTACGAGTGCCCCTATTAATTTGTTAAAGTGCACCTTCCGAAGTTCCCCTTTTCACCTCTGATAAGTGCCCCGTTTTTTTAAACGTACCCCTTTTCCTTCGACAAGTTCCCATTTTTCTTTGCAATAAGTGTCCATTTTCCTTTCTCATATAAGTGCCCTTTTTAATCTCTAGAAAGTGCCCCTTTCCAGGTACGAGAAGCGCCCCTTTTCACGTTTGATAAGCGCCCCCTTCACCTTTGATAATTGCCCTATACAAATCTGAGAGGTGCCCCCTTTACTTTGACAAGAGCGCACCTTATATGTTCACATGTGCCCCCTTCCTTTTTAATAAGTGCCCCTTTTCCTTATGATTAGTGCACCTAATTAAAAAAGAGCCACTTCCCCCTTCTCATAACTGCCCCTTTTCACCTAGTATGCAAATAGTCCCTTTTCATTCTCATAAGTGCCCTTTTCTTCTCTGGTAAATGCCCCTATTAAAATCTGATCGGTGCCTCTTTTCTTTCAACGAATGCATATTTCCTTTTATTATTAGTGCCCCTTTTTCATTCTCATAAGTATCGTTTTCATCCCTGGTGAGTGCCCCTTTTGAAGGTGTAAGAAGTGCCCCCATGTTCACCTCTGATAATTGCCCGTTGTACTTTGACACGTGATACTTTTCTTTTCTAATAAGTGTCATCCCTTTCGATAAGTGTCCCCTTTTCTTCTCACCATTAAACGTGCCCCTAATTTCAAGCAACTAAAAGCAATATCCCCCAAAGATCGCTCGCTACGCTCGCTCGCACTTATAGATGTCATAATTATGTTACTTATCAAAGGTCTTTTCAGTCTTCTGCTATGAAAATGTGTATAACCCCATCAGAATTGAGTTTTTCCTCTTAATTATAAGATGTAATTTTTCGCTCTGCGACCTCACAAATCTCTTCTTTTTTTTCCTCACTCGCAAATGATTTTTCAGACCATCACACCCAACTGCAAGGTATGGTGCTTAAGCAATATCTTATACGATATATAAAGAGAAACAAGTATTGAAATCATCCCTGATAATGTAATTACAATTATAGGGGTAAATACCAATGTCTAAAAAATGTTTATTTTAGCTTTGAGATTTCCCTTTGGACGTGCCCCTTTTTTCCAGGAAGTGCCCTTTTTTGTTGATGCTCCCCCGCACTTTGGAAGTCGCTCCGCCGTCTCTGGTTGTAGGTGTAGTAGTAGTAGAATTATTATTAGTAGTAGTAGTAATAGTAGCACTACTAATAAAAGTAGTAGCATGTAGTAATTGTAGTACATTAACTACTAATAAAAGAAGTAGCAATAATAGTAGTAGTAGTAGTAGTAGTAGTAGAAGTAGTAGTATAATAGAGTAATAGTAGTAGTATGGAAGAGTAGTCGTAGAAGTAGTAGTAGTAGTAGTAGCAGTAGTAGTAGTAGTAGTAGTAGTAGTAGGAGTAGTAGTAGTAGTAGCAGAAGTCATAGTAGTATAATAGTAGTATAGTAGTAGAAGTAGTAGTAGTAGTAGTAATAGTAGTAATAGTAGTAGCAATAGTAGTAGAAGCAGTATATAGCAATAGTAGTATAGAAGTAGTAATGGTAGAAGCGGCACTAGCAGTGAAAAATACAGGTAGCATCATCATTCCTCGCAGCTACTTATCTATGACATAACCACTGATGAACAACAGTGATATAACCTCTGACGAAGCCAATGCATCAATGCATCCTAGCTTACTATAATTATACGTCATACAAGCGCGACACTATTATATCCATTCTTCCCCTCAGTTCATAATAATACCGGCATTCCGTTTGAACTCATGATCTTTTCCATACACAAGTAAACAATATTTGGGGCATTTGTTCTGTGCGATGGCGGTGTTGGAGATATCGTCTATTGTCACCATTCCTACTCTAGTTGCCCTGTTCGTCGTGGTCGTACTTTACCTCATCTACCGGACCAACTCTAGGACTGCTCTAAGGCACCCCCCTGGTCCTTCAGAACTACCCTTCATAGGGAGTATCTTCACCCTCCTCTTCACGAAGCTCCAGCAACACGAACTGCTCTTTAAATGGAGCGGGGAGTACGGCGGGATCTTCTCCTTCACGCTGGCTGGAGGCCGCGTGGTCGTCCTGAGCGACAAGGAGCTCATCCAGGAGACTCTACAGGATCCCTTCGTCAATGATAGGATCCCCTTCCCAGCATGTATCAGCATCTATGGCAGAGAGAACACAGGTAAGAGCACTGCAGTTATTAGGGACTTTTAGATTCGCACGAAGAAAATAGGTCTATGCTAAGATCGACGTCCTTTTAATGCACTGCCTTGAATGGACGTCACACATATCAGTCCACGCAAATATAAAAGTCCCTATTATAAGCCGAAGCCTAAGCCTTGTATGGACAGCTTGATTTCACTATACACAAATACACTTTGGGCGACCTTCCACGCAAGCCGCCGTAAGTGGCGCTACAGTTGGGGGGCAGCTGGGGGGCTTCTGGATAGCACCTGAATGGGAAAGTTGAATGAGCGAGAGCTCGTTCGTACTTAGGCCCGCATCTACTGGCGGTGTGGTGAGAGTGCCTCCGTACCGTAAGATCGAACTCACAACTCTGCTCCAGCTAGCTAAAATTCCTTGAATTATTTATATTCTAACTCTAAATCATTCAGTCTCTCACTCTCTTCAATTCAATAAAATCATCTGCATGTTAACATACACGATAATGAATATGTGGGGCACCGTTACAACGGCGTCTCCCAAACTTCGATTGCCGAAAACGCACGCAAAACTCGCCAATGACGGACATCATCTACCCATTCATCCATCGTAAATGAAATAAATTTAGACAAAATGAAGTTGAAATGTCCGAAAGCGGCAAGGAATAATAAGTGGTTTGTCTGTGAGAAAGCAATGATCGTTGCATGCAAGATGAAAGCGCAAGCTGATAGAAGCCCCCCAGCGTGTAATGATAAACGTAGAGGGCTCACATCCATGAAAATTCGCCCGTATCGGTGTATACCTAGTCCATTGGAAAATGAGCTTGGATGTATAAATATTAATAACAAACGGAAGACTCAACCCAACCCAACCCACATATTTACGATATAAAGTCCATGCATTGATATCTTATTCTCACCTTAAATTAACGAACTATGGATATAATGAATGTATCGGGTTAAAGTGCAATAACCCATTGTAGCATAGATTCAAAATCTTGACAAACAACGCAGTGTTTGAGAACCGATCATTTATTTTTAATAGGCCGATGCCGACATACCATATATTTTGTTACCAGCGGACTTTAGTTTGATACTAAAAATGTGCATTTAGTCTGCATTTCGTCATACCAAGGAGGAAACGTAACTCCTTGATTATTCTGGCAATGCAAGAAATCTTGCGGCAGCAGTGAGAGAAAAAAAAAATGTGTCAAAAAAACATTTCCCATCTCTGAATTGGAATAACTCAATACATGCAGACGGCGTATTATTGATAGCGCAGACGACAAACTACACGTACGAAGAATTGGTTTTGTTTAACGGCTATTGATAGCGGGTTTAGTGAGTCGTGACCTCCTGTTTCCAATCCGATTATTCTATTGTACTTCAATTCTTTTCTTCTTCTTCTTTTTTTTTTTGGGGGGGGGGGGCGAGTTCGTAAATGAACCCCGGAAATATATAAATCTGCTATTAATTGGGAACTTAAATGTGGAACTAACCACGTACGCGTTTCGACCGTCTACCAATTGGAATACACCGTATAACTCCGTTCACACAATAATCAAGTGGTGCAGTTTGAATCCAGTCATTGAAGGAGTATTTTGTTGAGGAGGTGGGGGCAGGGCGGGGGCGATCAAACAGCACGAAAACGTTAAATGAAATACGAGGGAACAGGGCCATCGAGTTCGAAAGGGTGAGGAAGGCCGATCGTGGTATCATGCCCCCCCCCCTCCTCGCCCGGTTTGTTCTTTCTCCCTCTCTAATTCCTCCCCCTTCTCTTTCTTGCTCTTTTCATTTTTCCAATTTTGGCTATTCGTATCTACGCCACTCTAAATTGGTCAAAGTGCTATGGCAATGTATTCAAGGCACATGAAAAGATAATTTTCCCTGTATGAACTCACTTATCGTGCTCATACATGTATGTTTACCTACCAATACGTAGAGGAGGACGACATAATAATTGTACCTGCTTTTTTGTTGAGGTTATCTTTGTCGCAGTGTGCAAAGGCCTTCAAAGTGCAAAAGAGATTGAATTAACGGGTCTCGGGTAATTTTGCAGTGCACTCAGTATAATAATGGGGTTACTTTGTTAAATCAAGTTATCATTATTATCAGTGTTGTTTGTTTTTTGCTACTGTCGCTGCTGACACTGTTAGTTTTGTTCTTTTTTGTTGTTGTTTTTAATTTTTGTATGCCAGATGCTATTCTATATTTCAAAAGAAACAAATCATTCGTTTTTCTGTCTAGGAATTGCCTTTGCTAGCGGGGCTGTGTGGAAGGAACAGCAACGCTTTTTCCTGACCGTCTTCCGCAAGGTAAACACGAGCGTCATTAGGTTTGAAGACATCATCCAGACCCAGGGACAGCGTCTCCTGAACGAACTGGACCGCCTTGAAGGACAACTCTTCGACCCTTCCAATATTGTGACGGTTACAATATCGAACGTGATCCTGAAGATAGTTACAGGAAAGACGTACGAGTATGCTGATCCTGGCTTGCTTCGGATGGCAACGTGTTCAGATAGACTTGCTGATATAATCGGACCTGCTGGATTGTTAGGTAATGCTACACCTCCCCCCACCCTCTTTGTGTCTTTTATTCCTCTTAACTCCCTCTACCACCCCACCCACCGTCTCTCTCTCTCTCTCTCTCTCTCTCTCCCTCTGCCATACGGGGAAGACATTAATATTATCCTCACAACTTCGGAAAAAGCAATAAACAGGAAAGGCGTGTCGCTGTAATTATGGACTGACAAGCAAATAGTTTGATAAATAGAGAAATAGACAGATATCAAAATACACAAATAGATGAATAATTAATGAATAAATGACTGATTAAATCGAAATAAACAGAAATGAATAAATCGATGAAAAAAAGTTGAAGAAAAAAATGAGAGTAGAAGGTGGTGACGGTTTTGGAATGCCTTTCGTTTCCACCATCCCCTGTATAGCAGCCTAGGACTGAAGAGGGAATGGGAATGATGCTATAAATAGGTCTACTAGGTTTCTCTTTATTAATAATTCGATTAAATTCGAATTGACTGAATAGAATCTGCAATTTTGATTATTGTGCTCCATTCATGTCCATTCATGTGAGCAATGTAGGTATGGAATTTGAATTGTTTCATGACAAAATTAGGTACTTAAACCACGTCAGCTTACTCGGTATACTCTCGATCCATTCGTGTCAAACTTGGAGAAATAATTCTTGGGCTTGTTCCTTGCCTCTTCAGGCTCAATCTCAAGTAATCGATCAGATGCGGGAAATGATGAATAGCTTAACGTTAGATGCTAAACTCAATGTTAGCTTTTCCTTTACTGCATGAACAAACTATTATAGCTCAGTCGGTAGAGCAGTGGTCTCGTAATCCGGTGACCCGGGTTCGAAACCGAGTCGATGCGCTAGTGCCCTTTGGTAAGGCATTAATCCTCATTACCAGGTCCCTCGGAGAGGACTTAAAGCCGTCGGCCGTCTGGTTGCTTACTTACAAGCATTTATGCTTTCTTAGCAGTCAGGTTAAAAAATAACAACCAAATATTTGAACTCTGTAGGAATGATTCCTGGTCTTGCTTCCTTGCCTCTCCCGGCTAAACGTCAATTAACCGATCTGATGCGGGAAATGATTGACTTCATTAGGGATCATGTCGAGGAACACAAGGCGAACTTTAACCCTGATGAGCCAGCGACTGACTTTATGTCATGCTACTTGAAAGAGATAGCCAACAGCTCTGGGGTAAATATATTTGAACTGATTGACATAGGTATAATCGACTAACGATCTTTACATGATTTGTAAAGTAATTAATAATCCGAGGTGCTTTCCTTTAGTCTTAGGACAAATTAAGAATTGTAGAGGTATGTTTTCAGATGTTTCAGAAAAATAACGTTAAAAGTATAATGATAAAACCCCTTAGCACCCCCCCCCCCCTATTCAACCAGGGCCTTCACAATTCACATTCTATCCACTGAAGATGCCAAAGCCCCTTCTTGGAACGACGCTAAGCCACCGGTAATAGTAGTACAGTTTGTGCATAATTAATTAATATTTTTTAATTGAATGTTATTAACCATTTGGATACCTTGAGCAAATAGTAGGCAACTGGTGAGCTATCTTCATAAACCACTGTTATCATTCAGATCAAATCACAATTTTGTCATATTCACAAAATTGATTGGGCTATCCAGCCATTCGCCATATTCTTGATTTTTATATTTACTTTTCAATTTGTTGAATTGTTTTTATATTGTGATTTGGAAAGTAAATACCATACCATACCATACCATACCATACCACCAGCGTTCTGCTGAAAGACGCATCTAAAATCGGAATGGTACGATATGATAGTAACGGCCTTCTCCTGGCTGTCGTAAATTCTTTTGTTTTACCTTTAGATTCCGGACACAACATTTGATGAAACGAACATGCTCCAAACATGTTGGGACGCCATGTTTCCTGGCTACGAAACAACTATCTCCGCCTTCCGATGGGCCTTGCACCTCCTCGCATCGCATCCTCAAGTTCAGTCACGAATTCGTCAAGAAATTTTCGACGCCGTCGGAAGAGATCGTCTTCCAGCGTATACCGATCGTCACAATATGCCGTACATGGAATCAACCGTCGTGGAATGCCTCCGAATGAGACCCGTAATCCCTTACGTGGCGCCGCATATTGTATCACGTGATCGCAAGATAGCCGGATATGACGTGGCAGTGGGCACAAGGGTCACGGTCAATCTATGGTTTTTGGCGCGAAGTCCCACTTTGTGGGAGGATCCCGACGAGTTTAGACCTGAACGATTTCTGGATGAGAATGGTTGCTATGACAGATCACGTGAGCCTTTATCATTCAGCTATGGTAAGTATGATCGCTGATGATAATTATGACCAGGACCGTAGCCACGGGGGGGGGGGGGGGGGCACGGGGGCACGGGGGGCACGTGCCCCCCCCCCCCCCAAACATCAAACCCTGGCTACGGCCCGGGATATTACATTAACGACTTTACTTTTATTATAAATTAGATATTGAAAAATCGAAAAAAGTTTAACAAATTTGATATTTTGATTTATTAGAGAGATGCAATCTTGTATTTGAAAATAAAGATGGCGTATATATTCAATACCAACACATGTATTTGAAAATAGCAAGGGTGGATACAGAGTTGCCTATACGGGTTATTGCGTGATGCTTTTATAATTATGCAGTGTTGTACTGCCGAACGTTGATTGGTGTCTCTAATTGTTTGCGTCGATTGACACTCAAAGCAAACCTGCGGTCATGCCAAACGGTGATAATCGCAAATCAAAGGTTAACTCTTCCTCTCCCACATCTGCTTTCCAGGCAGACGAACTTGTCCCGGCGATCAACTAGCCCGGATGGAGCTCTTCCTCATCTTGAGCTACATCCTCCAAAGGTTCACCCTGACTCTCCCGGATGGAGCCCCAAGGAATCTTGAAGGAAGCATGGGGGCTACGTACAAACCTTACCAGTATGAGCTGCGAGCAACTAAAAATCACGGAGCGCGTTCGTCCGCATCGAATTCAGTCCCAGAATGATTGTTGGCAAAGATGCTTCCAGAAAAATAACAGGCAATCGGGAAGAAAGAGGAATAATTCGACGAATGACACTAATGATAACGAAAATGGTGATAACAATAAAGATAATGATGATGATAATAATAACAATTATAATGCTATTTGAATTATAATAATAATGATGATAATAAATGTAATCATAATTCATCTCTCTAAACCAAATGTTCCTCTTTCCACTTTGACAGAGTTTCGTTTCCTAGAACCTACTTTCTCCGTGTCTTATCTTGAATATTTCGTTTGCATTTTTTGCATATATGAACAACTGTGTACAAAATTGTCCATATTTTGTTTCATGTAAAGGTCGAATAAATCATGTTAGCATACAAAATCATGAAAATGGTCCCAATTTCTTAAGTTCATAGAAGGTGTGAAGTTGCATGCATGCAGGGATATGTATAACACATTATTAATTCAAATCCAAGCGTGCGCGCGCTATACAAGAAGCAAAATCCTCTTTATTATACAGCGCGTCCCAGAAAAAACGAAACTGAGAATTATCGATGTTTAATGATAACTTTATCACAATAAGAATTAATAATTTATACATATTTGTAATGCTTGGACTCTCCTCTTTCATTTGATGCAACTTATGTAATGCATATTTCACGCATGACGGATTAAAACAATTTAAAGAGAGGGTACCAAAAATTCATCTGGCGGGCGATATCTGAATTTCAAATAGAAAATCACATTTCTAGAAGGTTCATTTTGCTGCCCTTTCATATGACACCTCAATCAGGAAAATGAGCCAGGAATAATAAAGTTCTGTTTGTTTAAAGTAATGCTTGCATTTACATAATTTGATTAAACGAATTCATTTTCGCTGGCTGCCTGCCGTAGCAACAAACAGAGTTGACAAAAGACTAACTCCGTTTCGTTGATGATCAGCCCATGCACAAAGAAATGTTCGTAATGTAACCAACTTTAATACATAAGTCTTTGTGAAATGCCTTAATACAAATTATTTCATTCACCTGATAAGAATAGTAGTATTTCAATAGTATTAATGCAACTGCATATATTAAGTTTTGCTAGGTAAGTCAAGCCATAATGTTTGTCCTACCTGGCAACAACTAATATATGAAGTTATATTGAAATACTTTTATTCTTATCAGGCGAATGAAGTAATCTGTATTGAGGCATTTCACAAAGACTTATGCATCAAATTTGGTTACATTACGAAAATGGCCTATTGAATAAATAATGTAGGAGCTTAGTTTAGCTAACTATGTAGGTTCAATCCAATACACAACAAGTAGGTATGTGTTACTTTTCAATGCAATTCAATTAATTTATTCACTCATATATAAAAACAGATACATAACATTGCGTATGAACGCATATGACAAATATAAAAAGATGGACATAGTAAAATCCGTAGTTGAAAGCACAAGTAACATAAAATGAGTGGGGATCAGATTAAAGATTTTGTGAATTGGCTTTAGGTAAAGCCCCGGCGGGGGTCATGGGGCGGGGTTTTAGGCATTTAATGACGGATATATGAGCATCTGGGGCCCGCCTTAGGGCCCCTGTTGGCCCGGAAGATCACGGTTTTTAGGTATTTAATAACGGTCAGATGAGCAACCAGGGGCACGCCTTAGGGCCCTTGGTGGGATCCAAAGGGCAGAGCCCCCGGAAGTTCAGGGAAAAACCATGCCATTTCAGCAGCATTTGTAAATCACTGGTATCGAATTAGAAATAAACCACGTTTGAATTTTATTCGGGGGGGGGGGGCGACTACCTCCAAGCTCCCTCATCATTACGCCAGTGCGAGGGAGCATAGTGAACAAGAGGGGTGACGGTGACGGAAGTGATTATCCCCTCACAGGTTTTTGAAGCCTTGTTGTATTAACAAATTACATTCCTTAGCAAAACAATAGTATAAAAACAAGCAATATACCTTTTCACACTTCACTTTTCTACAATATTTACTTGTACACTCTGAAGAATATTATGCGAGGGAGCGTAGCTACCAAGCGAGAAGATTTTTGCATTTTTATTTGTCTAAACGCTGTACCGTTGAGCCTTCCAGAGCCTTAACGTTTGTTGCAGTCTTTAGTCAGTATTTGCTATTCACTTGTTTTTTTTTGCATTTTTTTCAAATTTCAGGGGGGGGGGAGGGCGATCCCCTCCCCCCTAAAAAAAATTGACGGGGGGACATGTCCCCCCGTCCCCCGGGATAACCACTCCTGCTCTCACTTACAATCTCCGGGAAGGAACTACTTGGAGTTCCATGAATTGACTTTTGATCTGGTACGTGTGTACGTGTCACAAATATCTCTCTCAATGCGCTATGGCTACTACCATCCCTCCACTTTAAAGCGTGCCTAGATCTGTCTTTCTCTCTCAATGCCATCAATGTAAAACCACACTAACCTGGCATGATGAGAAAGAATCTCTTTCAGCTTGTCTACGAGGGACAGGATGTCTAGAGGAGGAGTCGAGTTTACACTAATATACATGTATTATTCTGAGAGCGTTGCTACCATGCACGGGGAAACAAAGCTTTCATACAAAGTTACCGGATTCCTAATTGTTATGGTAGGCCTATTCATATCCATAATTGTGGTTATTATTGATAAAGAGAGGAAGTACAGTAGCTGACCTGCGGCACATGACCTCCTTATTTGGCAGCACCAAAAGACAGTCGGCGGCAGGGGGGGGGGGGGGGGGGCAATTCGTGAGAAAATATTTAGCGGCGAAACAGCCGGCCGATAATTCGAGCAGTTGGGGGGGGGGGGGGGGTAGTGAGCACTGGATCCGCCACTGTGATGCGACACCCATGACTCTCGGACATAATACCCGGTGGCAGCTGAGTCGGCAGATTATTAAACACGGTGATCAGTATAGGCCTTTCAGTTACCCATTTAATCCGGGCCGGGATTCGAACTCTAAATTATAGGCGTAGAACTAGAAGTATGAAATCACAGGAGGGGCTATCAAAGTATCAGGTGTTTCATGAAGACGTGTTTATTTTTGTGAGTACGAACAAAAGTGAACAAAAATTGACACGCAATCATAGTGACATACACAAAACGTGTCTCGCCTATTGCGAAGATAATGAAGGAAAACAAAATGAGGAGTAAATACAAATCCACATTCACCACTAAAAGCCTTGGGATATAACCTGGCCGCGATTCGCCATGGAGATGGTATTGATGTACATGTTTTTCTCTGATATGACCCAACTATTCAACTCGCACATACTACTATAGACGGTATACACTTATACAAGGTGTGGATGAAAACCCAATGGTTCTGAAAGAAATATCTTCTTGGAACCATTCAAAATTCACACTATGAACATGAAGGACAAAGAAAGCAGACAAAATATACAGTTCCTCAGGTACATCCCTTCACTGCTATTATGTAAAAATGTGTAGAACAGGTGTCACATGCATATTCACCTGTTCTACACATTTTTACATTACAGCAGTGAAGGGATGTTCCTTTATCTACCTGAGGAACTGTATATTTTGTCCGCTTCCTTTGTCCGTCATATTCATAGTGTCAGTAATATCTCTTACAACTATTGTTGTACTGTTAATGCTCACAAATAATAACAATTAATAAAACAAAGATCAAACTTGACCTTTAAAAACATTCAAGTAGGCCTATGTTCAATCAACTTTAATTTGTAGCAACTATGTACACATATGGAAACTCTGTATCAACTGCTCAATCTGACTTGCGTGCATAGAACAAATAAGCATGAAAAAGTGAAGTTTTCAACAAAGTGCGTTTCTTTCCAGCATTGGGTTGCCCGGGAGTCACTTGGGTAACCTTTAGAATAGTGTAATATATACAAAAAAATAAAACAATATGCACTTTATCTGTAATTTTGTCGGAAAAAATAGTAATCCTGCACAATGTCGTTTCTTTTACGTTGGAGATGAGCAAAATTAGCGAGTTCCAACTGGGGGGGGGGGGGGCTTTCATCGAAAGGGTGCGGTGCGGCGCGGCGCGGTGTGGTGTGCTCAACGCACCCATTCGATAAAAGAGGGGGGGCTTTTCTCGAAAGGGTGCGTTGAGAGCGGAGTACCGTTTTAACACACCCTTTCGATAAAAAAGAGGGGGGGGGGGCTTTTCTCGAAAGGGTGCGTCGACTAGTCTTTCGCATCAGTCGTTTAAAATGAGGATCTCGGACAAAAGGTAATAGTTGCCAATTTAAGTATATCGAAAATGTATTAAATAAAATGGAATGGTCTTGATTACAGAGTGGTCTCTTTCGTTATTACTATGTTGATGGGGGAGACAGAGAGAAGGAAAAAAGGGAAAGGGAAAGGGAAGATAAAAGGAAAGAATAAGAAGAAAAGAGGGAAACTGGGGGGGGGGCGAAGGGCTCTTGCCTCCTCCCCCCCCCCCCCCCCCCCCCGCCAAAAAATAAATAAGAGAGAGAGAGAGAAGGGAAAGGGAAAGAAAATATAAAAGGAAAGAAAGAAGAGGAAAAAGAAAAGAGGGAAACGGGGGAAGGGCGAAAGGCTTTTACCTCCCTCCCCCCCCCCCCCGCCAAAAAAATAAATAAGAGAGAGAGAGAGAGAGAGAGAAGGGAAAGGGAAAGAAAGAAGAATAATAAGAAGGAAAGGGGGAAACGGGGGAAGGGCGAAGGGCTCTAATTGCCTCCTCCCTCCCCATCCCCCGCCAAAAAATAAATAAGAGATAGAGAGAGAAGGGAAAGGGAAAGAAAATATAAAAGGAAAGAAAGAAAAGGAGGAAGAAGAAGAAAAGAGGTAAACGGGGGCGAAGGGCTCTTGCATCCCCCGCCAAAAAATAAATAAGAGAGAGAGGGGAAAGGGACAGGTAAAGAGAAGATAAAAGGAAAGAAAGAAGAGGAAGAAGAAGGAAACGGGGGCGAAGGGCTCTTGCCTCCTCCCCCCCCCCCCGCCAAAAAATAAATAAGAGAGAGAGAGAGAAGGGAAAGGGAAAGGGAAAGAAAATATAAAAGAAAAGAAAGAAGAGGAAGAAGGAAAGAGGGAAACGGGGGAAGGGCGAAAGGCTCTTACCTCCCCCCCCCCCCCGCCAAAAAAAATAATAAGAGAGAGACAGAGAGAGAAGGAAAGAAAGAAGAGGAATAAGAAGGAAAGAGGGAAACGGGGGAAGGGCGAAGGGCTCTTGCCTCCTCCCCCCCTTCCAAAAATAAATAAGAGAGAGAGAGAGAGAAGGGAAAGGGAAAGAAAATATAAAAGGAAAGAAAGAAGAGGAATAGGGAAGGAAAGAGGGAAACTGGGGGAGGGGGCGAAGGGCTCTTGCCTCCTCACCCCCCCCCCCCGCCAAAAAATAAATAAGAGAGAGAAAGAGAAGGGAAAGGGAAAGGGAAAGAAAATATAAAAGGAAAGAAAGAAGAAGAAGGAGGAAAAAGGGAAACGGGGGAAGGGCAAAGGCTCTTACCTCCCCCCCCCCCTCCCGCCAAAAAAATAAATAAGAGAGGGAGAGAGAAGGGAGAGGGAAAGAAAATATAAAAGGAAAGAAAGAAGAGGAAAAAGAATAAGAAAAGAGGGAAACGGGGGCGAAGGGCTCTTGCCTCCTCCTTCCCCCCCCCCCCGCCAAAAAATAAATAAGAGAGAGAGAGAGAGAAGGAAAGGGAAAGAGAAGATAAAAGGAAAGAAAGAAGAGGAAGAAGAAGAAAAGAGGGAAACGGGGGCAAAGGGCCCTTGCCTCCTTTCTTTTCTTTCTTTTCCTTTCTTTCCTCTCTCCCTCTTTTTCGTTTTCCTCTTTCTTTCTTCTCTTTTCTTTCCTTTCTTTTCTTTTTTCTTTTTTCTTTTCTTTTTCTTTTTTTCTTTTCTTTCCCTTTTCCTCTCTTTTTTCCCCTCCCCCTTTTCTCATTTTTTTCCGACGGCAGCGCAATTTTACCGACAATATCCTGACAGGTGGGGGGGGGGGGTGTCGCACCCCCACACCCCCCTTTGGAGACGCCCCTGTCTACGCCACTGTTGGCGACCACAAGGCTATCAATACAAATTAAGACATATTAATGAAGATTCTTTTTTAATGTTGCAGAGAGATAAGTATTTTCTCTATGAACTTGTTTAATGGACAATAAATAATATTAAAAACATGAATACTATAGCGGTATAATGATGAGAGAGATGATTTAAGTCAAACTTGTTTTCAATGTGATTGGAGTAGACTTGAGGGTGGGGGGGGGGGGGGAGGGGTCCCCCCCTAAGATCTCGGCCGTTTCACAGCCGATCGCCGCGAAAATGAATATTTATGGTAATTTATGCAAACAAGGTCAGAGAATTCACATTTTTACCCATAAATCATATATAATTCATATTCAAGCGTTCTTTTTCACTACATATATTCGTTAGAATAATAATACGACAACAAAGTTGGAAGAGCCAGTTTATCCCTATGTTATCTCTTGTTTTGATAATTTGTATTTATGTATTATATTATTTTTGTTGTTTTATTTAATTTCTAACCACAATTCAACTATTTTGACCCAAAATCAAACACATTAACTTGAAACAAGACCAAATAACCAATGTTTTCTCTTTTTTCCATATGTTTGGTACATAAATCACAAAAATGAGCGATTTTAGGGCTGACATGCAAAAACAAAAGGTCACGTGACTCCGCAACTATACGTCCGATTTTCAACAAAAAAATGTTTCACAAGATGCGTAAGACTCGAAAGAAAAAAGTCATGAAAGAAAAACTTTATATCTGCCGCGGTTCCGGAGTAGTCGCGAAATTACTAGAGAGCACTAATCTTTTTTGGGGCCCTCGAAAATTTGAAAAAAATCGTACCCCCCCCCCCTTGAACGCCAGGGGGGGGGGGGCTATCTCCCCAAAACGGTAAAATTAACGTGTTTTTTTTTTTTTACACGTTTTTTCACAGGGCGGAGCCCTCAGAAGCTCAGGGGTATTAAACATCAAAATTAACGTCGGATGAGCATAATTTTATACCTTATTTGTGACAGTGGCAGGACACAATTTGGTGTTGTGTCCAGGGGGCGGAGCCCCCAGAAGCTCAGGAGTTTTGTACATTAAATTATTATTATTTTATACCTTATTTGTGACACAGGGGTCACGAATTGGCGTGGGGTCCAGGGGGTGGAGCCCCCGGAAGCTCAGGGGTTTTGGGCAATAAATAACGGTCAGATGAGCATATTTTTTATATCTATTTGTGACACTGGCAGGACACAAATTGGTGTTGGATCCAAGGGGCGGAGCCCCAAGAAGGTGAGGGGTTTTATACATCAAATTATCGTCAGATGAGCATATTTATATATCTATTTGTGACACTGGCAGAACACAAATTCTTCTTCCTCTTCCTCTTCTTTCTTTCCTTTTATCTTCTCTTTCCCTCTCCTTCTCCAACATAAGATGCAAGACGGATATAATTATATCGACTCACCTTCTTTCCAAAAACCATACGGGCCTGAAATCCCCCCCCCCCTAGCATCTTTGCCTGCGACGCAGTCGAAACCTTCAATGCCAGATCCTGGGAAGCCATCCAAGGGGGTAATATAATCATAGTCCCTCCCCACAACTGCAATGTGGTGGGACTTAATTTTAAAATGTTCTAGAAGCAACAAACACTCTCTCTCGAACAATAACGTTCTTATTGGTCATCTTTATATCCCTCTTGAGGATCAGGACCAGGATCAGAACAGATTCTCTCTGTCTCTCTCTTTTATTGTTTTTTTGGCGGGGAGGGGGGGGGGAGGGAGGCAAGAGCCCTTCGCCCCCGTTTCCCTCTTTTCTTATTCTTTTTCCTCTTCTTTCTTTCCTTTATATTTTCTTTCCCTTTCCCTTCTCTCTCTCTCTCTTATTTATTTTGTTGGCGGGGGGGGGGGGGGGAGGCAAGAGCCCTTCGCCCTTCCCCCGTTTCTCTTTTTCCTCTTCTTTCTTTCCTTTTATATTTTCTTTCCCTCTCCCTTCTCTCTCTCTCTCTTATTTATTTTTTGGCGAGGGGAGGCAATAGCCCTTCGCCCTTCCCCCGGTTTCCTCTTTTATTCTTCTTCCTCTTCTTTCTTTCCTTTTATATTTTCTTTTCCTTTCCCTTCTCTCTCTCTCTCTCTCTCTTATTTATTTTGTTGGCGGGGGGGGGGGGGGGGAGGCAAGAGCCCTTCGCCCTTCGCCCTTCCCCCGTTTCCCTCTTTCCTTCGTATTCTTTTTCCTCTTCTTTCTTTCCTTTTATATTTTCTTTCCCTCTCCCTTCTCTCTCTTTCTCTTATTTATTTTTTGGCGAGGGGAGGCAAGAGCCGTTCGCCCTTCCCCGGTTTCCTTCTTTTATTGTTCTTCCTCTTCTTTCTTTCCTTTTATCTTCTCTTTCCCTTTCCCCTTCCCTTCTCTCTCTCTCTTATTTTTTTTTTGGCGGGGGGGGGGGGGGCGGGGGGGGGGGGTGGAGGCAAAAGCCCTTTGCCCTCGTTTCCCTCTTTTCTTCTTCTTCCTCTTCTTTCTTTCCTTTTATCTTCCCTTTCCCTTTCCCTTCTCTCTCTCTCTGATTTATTTTTTGGCGGGGGGGGGGGGGCAATTAGAGTCCTTCGCCCTTCCCCCGTTTCCCTCTTTTCTTCTTCTTCCTCTTCTCCCTTTCCTTTTATATTTTCTTTCCCTTTCCTTTTCCCTCCTCTCTCTCTCTCTCTCTTATTTATTTTTTGGCGGGAGGGGGGGGGGGGGAGGTAAGAGCCTTTCGCCCTTCCCCCGTTTCCCTCTTTCCTTCTTCCTCTTCTCTCTGTCCTTTTATATTTTCTTTTCCTTTCCCTTTCCCTTCTCTCTCTCTCTCTCTTATTTATTTTTTGGCGGGGGGGGGGGGGTGAGGAGGCAAGAGCCCTTCGCCCCCCCCCCCAGTTTCCCTCTTTTCTTCTTATTCTTTCCTTTTATCTTCCCTTTCCCTTTCCCTTTTTTCCTTCTCTCTGTCTCCCCCATCAACATAGTAATAACGAAAGAGACCACTCTGTAATCAAGACCATTCCATTTTATTAATACATTTTCGATATACTTAAATTGGCAACTATTACCTTTTGTCCTTTCATTTTAAACGACTGATGCGAAAGACTAGTCGACGCACCCTTTCGAGAAAAGCCCCCCCTCTTTTATCGAAAGGGTGTGTTAAAAACGGTACTCCGCTCTCAACGCACCCTTTCGAGAAAAGCCCCCCCTCTTTTATCGAATGGGTGCGTTGAGCACACCACACCGCGCCGCGCCGCACCGCACCCTTTCGATGAAAGCCGGGGGGGGGGGGGGGGGGGGGGGGGGGGGGGGGGGGGTAAGCGGACACTTTTTTTTTTTTTTTTGGTCTCGAAATTTCAAAATTTGACATTTTTTGTCGTTGGGGGGGGAGGTAAGGTCACCTTATTTAGGTTAGCCGTGGGTATAATTTTTTTTTTTTTTTTTTTTTTTAATAATAATAAAAAAACAAAAACAAAAAAAGGGGGGGGGGTTATAGGTTTTTTTAGGGGGGTTTACATACATAAAAATACCAAAGGGGGGGTTTGAACCCCCAACCCCCCCCCCCCTGCGTACGCCCCTGGCTTCAATATAACACCATATCACAGACACTGATAACACGTAGGCCCGTGCATCTCTGATTTAAAAGTGTTAAATGATCCATTTGACAAGTTTTTTTACTTTGTATATGCGAGCAAACCAAACATGAATTGAATTGAATTGAATCGAATTATGCAGATAAGGCTTCACAGGGACGAAAGCTTTCACGCAGTTACTGTACCAATGGACGCCTGACTTGCTTTCTTCCAAACTGACGAAACGTTTCCAGTGTGGGGTCATAACATTAAAACTGGATTGTATTACAGTCTCGATCGTCTAGCCCTATATAGCTATCAAGTAAGATGGAGGAAAATAATCGGCCTGCAGTTCCAAACTCGATTCGCAGTTACATACTTGCAGTTACACTTGCTACTTTTCTGGTTTATTTCATTTACCGACGAGGGCAGGGTAGAAAATTCCACTACCCACCGGGCCCGACAGGATTACCTCTCTTCGGGAGTTTCTTCAGCTTGATTTTCACAAAGAAGCAACAACATGAGGTAAATAATACAATGCTATTTATTTTGTGAGATAAAGATGATTGTATTGCCTGTGAATGTCCATGCTCGGTGTAAATAGACAGCGCATTGAATGTATACTTGTCAATTAAAGGAGAACTAACCTGTGGTTGTTCTGAGATATTTATCGCATTTTCGCCCATTAATCTACAACATTCCCACCAAAGTATACTATGAGAAAGACATAAAGCCTTAATAAAGTGTGTCTCAACCTTTAAAATAGGGAATACAATAGCCTACATAGAGCTGCATGAACTTATATAACACAAAGTTAATGTCATATTTTTACATAAACAGGTGGTGAATGACTGGACCAACAAGTATGGGGACGTGATTTCCTTCAAGCTATTAAACATCCGGGTATATGTGTTGAACAATGTTCAGATGTCACATGATGTAATGGGTAGTGTGAACATGATGGGCAGAATGCCTGTCCCCATCATCAAGACTCTTACGGGAAGAGAGAATGCAGGTAGGTGATGACCACCCCCCCTTTTTTTTTTTCTTCTTTTAGATTGAGGAAGATCATGAATGTTGAATGAAAATTGCAGTAATGACAGATCAGCTGAATGGCACCTATGTGCAGTGTAATCCCGAGTTTACTGATCCAACATGTAAAGTTTTGTACAGTAAATACGTCATCTGGCTGAATGTAGATCGATCGCAAGGTTACCTAGCATGCAATTATTATGGCACATCCCAAGAGAGCCCGCCAGCGCTCGGGCGCGGATGGGCAATTGAGAAAAGACCTACGTGGCAGCCCGCAGGAGCTTTTACCTTCAATTCAACAGCTGCTCGATGCTCAGTCAGAACAAATTTGGAACAAATTTCAGATGGAAATTCGAGGACTAGAAAGCAGAATAACTACAGAAATTAAGCAGTTCGAAGCCAAAATAGCTGAAGTTATCACTTCTGTCGACTACAACGCAAATGACATAGAACATTTGAAAAACGACACCATTCCGAATATGAAAAAGCAAGTGGAAGAAGATAGAATGCAATTAAAGGAGGAGATAGACAGACTAAGCACATACATAAGCAGAGAAAACTTGGTGTTTTTAGGAATTCCGGAGAAGGAACCTGAAAATGGGGCGGAGAATGTGTCCAAGGTGTTAGAAGAATTTTATACGTCGCATCTGAAGCTAGAGTTCGGCCTGATAGAAGGAATACAATACCAACGAGTTCATCGCGTTGCGGCGGCAGTGAGGCCGAGACCAATAAAGGCTCGATTTGTGCATTACGCGGACAGAGAACTTGTATTGAAAAATGCAAAAAATCTTAAAGGCACAAAGATGTACATTACGCAGGATTTGCCAATTAGAACGAGACAACGGAGAAGACAACAAATGGAAGCACTGAGAGAAGCGAGAAATGCGGGGAAGTTGGCTTATTTCTCGAAAACGGAGCCATGGAAGCTGTATGTGGATAGGGTAGTCCTACCTATAGAAAAGCAGGCAGGATTCATCGACCAATGCAGAAGAACAGGACCAAAAGGACAAGACAAGCGTTCTAACAGCCCACTACACCCGGTACCCGGAGCGACGTCGACCAAGGAATTATCCCGAGGAGCGACCAACGTAAGGAGTGACGGAAAGGCCAAGGCAGACGAAGGGATGGCAGACGAAGGGATGGAAGTACATGTGGAGGGTGTAAAGCCAGTTTAACCAGAAAGCTAGATAAGTATAATCTATTATTAAGAATTATTTGAGCAATCATTATGATCTGAAGAAGGATGAAAGAGAGAAACAGAAGGAGAACAGACATTATTAACGATAAATATAATTAGCCTAAAGATTGGAACAGCAAACTATCTGAAACTGGAATGAAAGTGAGAAATCAGCTCGACAAGAAGCAGAGAGATACGAAGTAGTGAGGTATTCTTCAGTACAGGGAAAGGAAAGGAAAAAAAAAAAAAAAAACCAACGTTTGAAGAGAAGAAGAAGTACTCAAGTAGCTGAGAACTGACATTAAGGAATTTTTTTTTTTGGTATTTTTGAAGAAGAGAAAGAAAGGACATGAAATAATACTTTCTTGCTGGCCTGTATATTATGTGTAAGAATTATACCGTGTTTCTTTTATGTTGCATTTAAACGGAGAAAAAAAAACAGAGTTACCTAATGATGTGTTAAGCTGGGTAAAAGAAAAAAAAAGAAAAGAAAATGATTTTTGATGGTATGAATTATTTATCAAGGGATCTAGATAATCTACACCTTCAAGCCTTCACATTGAAAGAAGAATTAGTGGCTTGGCTTTGTTTTTTTTTTTTGTTTTTTTTTTTTTGTTGTTGTTGTTTGTTTTAGTAACTGCAGTTGGTAATTTAAAAACTGCACTTATGAAAGAAGACTTTGCATTCAGGCAGTGTGATAAGTGATTCAAAATTAGAAGAAAAACATGACAATTAATGAGTGTATAACCCGCAGACGATAGTTGATATAAAAGCAGAAACTCCTCCTTTGAAGGAAACAATTAACTGTGCTTTTATAACTAGTGAAATTCAAAGTAGGTTCAAGATGTTAAGAGTAACAGGAAGCATGATGTAGATAGAAATGCGAACGACTCCGGGAGAGAGAGAATAAAATTCCTGTAAACGACATATTTTGACTATTACAGTGGACAGGCTAAAAATGTTCATATCATATGCATAATACTTAGATTGACAACAAAAACAAATCTTTTTAAGGGGATGGCATCTGTTTTATTAAGTTTTATTGGAATTCTTGAAGACATCTTAAAGAAAGGTTGCCGGTTGCTGGTCCATTTATATGAAATAAGAAAAGGAGTTTTGTGAACTGGGGTAGGTAGGAGGAGGTGAGATTGTGCATAGTTGGAAATGCAAGCTGTACACATAGAACAGGTTGTATTGAGATAAGGAATTTTGTTATTACCGTAGGCTGTTTTGTATTGTGAACTTAGGATGACATGCAGTATGTACAATCAAGGCAGGATAGAATAGTGTTGAATGAGTTACAATGCAGTCGATCTGTACTATGTAGTAAGGTATTTGTTTTGTGAACTGTTGAATGTAGAAAGAAGAGTGAGATATGGCATAGTCTTGAATTGCAAGCGTTATACAATGAAAGCAGTTTAGTTTCAGAGTACAGTCTTAATCCAAGTGTTAATGACAGAAGATTGACAGAAGGAAGATGGAACATGTACTTTGGTTAGTAGATAAAAAGGCATAATAATGGGGGGAAGATGCTGGGTTGGACATATGATAATTTATACATGGGGGTTTTAACCCTTCTTTTGTTGTACCCCTACATGACGGTCATGGCGCGATGCAATCACAGTTGATATGCAGGAACTCATTGGTTTATGAACTGGAATGTACAACATGTACTTTGGTTAGTAGATAAAAAGGCATAATAATGGGGGGAAGATGCTGGGTAGGACATATGATAATTTATACATGGGGGTTTTAACCCTTCTTTTGTTGTACCCCTACATGACGGTCATGGCGCGAAGCATTCGCAGTTGATATGCAGGAACTCATTGGTTTTATTAACTGGAATGTACAAGGAGGTGAGATATGGCATACGGTAGTTAGAAATGGCAAGCTGTACACTGTATGTACAATGAAGGCAAGAGAGAATAGTGTTTAATTGAGATGGAGATAGCACAGAGGAAATGTATTTACACTGTAGAAGCAACTTGGAAGGAATATTTATAAAGTGATTTTTTTTTTTTTTTTTTTTTTGTTGTTGCTGTGATGTTGCAAGTGTTAAAAGAGAAGTAGTTTCTCAATGCAATTTTACTTGCAGCAGTTTCAGAACACTGCCTTAATCCAAATGTAAATGAGTTACAATGCAATCGAGCTGTAGTAAGGTATTTGTTTTGTGAACTGTTGAATGTAGAAAGAAGAGTAAGATATGGTATAGTCTTGAATTGCAAGCGTTATACAATGAAGGCAGGATAGAAAAGCTTTTAATGGAGATTGAGATAGCACAGAGGAAATGTAATAGAGGAGCTATTTTGAAGAAATATTATATGTAGACTATTTCCTTCAGTAAAGTTGAGGGTGGAGAAGTTTCTTGTACAGAAAAGGAGAGGTAGAGAGTATTAATTCTTTATCTGTTATTACAAATATGAAAGAGAAGAAGGGATTTCTTCATGCAAATTTGTTTAGGTTAGTTTCAGAGTACAGTCTTAATCCAAGTATTAATGACAGAAGATTGACAGAAAGGAAGATGGAACATGTACTTTGGTTAGTAGATAAAAAGGCATAATAATGGAGGGAAGATGCTGGGTTGGACATATGATAATTTATACATGGGGGTTTTAACCCTTCTATTGTTGTACTCCTACATGAAAAAGACCATTGATGTAATCGCAGTTGATATGCAGGAAGTTATTGGTTTTATTAACTGGAATGTACAAGGAGGTAAGATAGGGCATACGATAGTTTGAAATGGCAAGCTGTATGTACAATGAAGCCTTTTTTTTTTTTTTTTTTTTTTTTTTTTTTTTTTTTTTTTTTTTGCTATGCTGTGTTGTTGCAAAGATAAAAAAAAGAAGAAAGAAGTATCTCGAAGCAATTTTACTTGCAGCAGTTTCGGAACACTACCTTAATCCAAATGTTAATGAGTTACAATGCAGTCGATTTGTAGTAAGGTATTTGTTTTGAGAACTGTTGAAGTTTTTTTTTTTTTTTTTTTTTTTTTTTGCTGTGTTGTTACAAGTGTTAAAAGAGAAACAGTTTCTCGAAGCAATTTTACTTACAGCAGTTTCAGAACACTGCCTAAATCCAAATGTTAATGAGTTACAATAATGCAGTCGATCTGTAGTAAGGTATTCCTTTTGTGAACTGTTGAATGTAGAAAGAAGGGTGAGATATGGCATAGTCTTGAATTGCAAGCGGTATACAATGAAGGCAGGATAGAAAAGTTTTGAATTGAGATTGAGATAGCACAGAGGAAATGTAATAGAGGAGCTATTTTGAAGAAATATTATATGTAGACTATTTCCTTCAGTAAAGTTGAGAGTGGAAATGTTTCTTGCACAGAAAAAGAAAGGTAGAGAGTATGAATTCTTTATATGTTATTACAAATATGAAAGAGAAGGGATTTCTTCATGCAAATTTGTTTAGGTTAGTTTCAGAGTACAGTCTTAATCCAAGTATTAATGACAGAAGATTGACAGAAAGGAAGATGGAACATGTACTTTGGTTAGTAGATAAAAGGCATAATAATGGGGGGAAGATGCTGGGTAGGACATATGATAATTTATACATGGGGGTTTTAACCCTTCTTTTGTTGTACTCCTATATGAAAAAGACCATTGATGTAATAGCAGTTGATATGCAGGAAGTCATTGGTTTTATTAACTGGAATGTACAAGTAGGGAGATATGGCATACTGTAGTTTGAAATGGCAAGATGTATGTACAATGAAGGCAAGAGAGAATAGTGTTGAATTGAGATGGAGACAGCACAGAGGAAATGTATTTACACTGTAGAACCAACTTGAAAGGAAT